AATTAGTTTGAGGACCCAATGACAGCTAATGGATAAGGTACTTTGCAGGAATAACGTTTTTGATGGGTGGAGAGGGGAAGGGAGATGAATTTGGAGCAGAGTGTATTGCCAAGGAAAGGCCATGGGTATGATCGGAGAGCAAATGTTATGACACCCAGGGTCTGCTAGGTGTTGGGAGGAATGGATGCAGGAAAGAGAAAGGACAGGAAGGCAAAATTAAGATGGCAAATAGTAAAGGCAACCGTTGATCTTTTCTAGAATCAGCTTTCATAGTGTTTCTTGTGTCCCTTTTCTGAGGTGTGTAAGTAGGGTCGCTCAAAAGAATCCTCAGAATTTTTTGGGGGTGTGAATAGCCTGGGTTATCTGGCTCATGCTTAGAGTCTGGCTTTGCTCCAGAAATTTTTCACCGTGCTCCAAGAGCCCCGTGGGTATATTTGTCTCCTCGTTGATCTCAGAGTTGCTTCAACAGCCTTTCTTTCTCACCATTTTGTGTGGCCTCCTGAAACTGGGCCTATGACCAAAGAGAGTGACATGTCCACAGGGGAGTTCAGGTATTCCATTAAGGGTGCGATGTGGTCTGAGCTCCTCTCTAAGACCCTCCAAACAGGCACCCAACAGTTATTCTGAATCCTTGGAAGAAGTCATGTTTCTACTTCCCTGTGTAGTATACAGTCAATATTTATTCATCTGGACCAAGGCATAAAAAGTGCTTTACGTATGTCATCCTGAATCACTGCAGACAACCTTATGAAGTAGGTACTGGTTTTTCCCCTTCAAACTATATCTGATGAAAAGGAGGGTGTGTTAGGATTACATCCAACTACAGCTAATAGAAAACATGTCATACAGTGCCTTAAATAAGGGGTTTATTTTCCTCTTGTCCTGGAGGGGGAAAAAGGCATTTCAGGCCTGATATGGTGGGATTCAGATACCATTAATGCTTCTTTCCAGCATCTTTAGCATGTATATTGCTCTCTCATGTTTATTGCCTGTTATAACTGCTCTACCCTTGGCATTGCATCAGCATTACAGAGAGGAAGAAGAGGAAAGGCCAAAACAGTGGTTCTCACTTGGGTGTGATTTTGTCCCTAGGAGGTATTTGGCAACACCTGGAGACAGTTTTGGTTGTCACAACCTTGGGGTGTGTGTGTGTGTGTGTGTGTGTGTGTGTGTGTGTGTGTATTGCTACTAGCATCTAGTGTGTAGAAGCCAAAGATGCTGCTAATCTACAGTGCACAGGGACAGTGCTCACAACAATAATTAACTGGTCTGAAATGTCAGTAGTGCTAAGGGAGAGAAACTGGCATAAAGGCAGAAAGCATATGCCAGGCAAGTCTGTCCTCTTTGAAAATGGATTCATGAAAGTGGACCAAAGACTTTGTTGTATGTAATTGGCCTGAATCTCATCCCACAGCCAACTTTAGCTGCAAAGGAAGCTGGGAAATACATCTATTTTTTGTTGGGTCCATTATCACCACAAGCAGGATTTGGGTCTGATAGTAAGGGAAGGAAAGGAGAATGGAGATTGGGTAGACAATAGGCGGTTGTCATGAGCATACTCTTTCCAGAGGTTTGTGTGAATAAGGGGTGTGGATACATGCACTGGTTAAGGAAAACTGGAATTTTTTATCAACCACAGTTGGCTAGGAAATATTTTTTGCAGGACATAATATACAGCCTACTACCTATTAATGCCACTGTTCTCTCAGTATTTGCAGTGGGACTTGCCTTTGCTTCTTGTCCATGTAGCCTCTGAGACAATTGATTTCAGGCCTGCCTCACTAATACTTTTTTACCCTTCAACAAGTCAGTAAACTGTTGATGCTTCATTTCTTTTATTCCGAAAAAAAAAGGTGATGTGATCACTATTTGCCTTAAAGTGTATATCAGTTAGAGTTTATTCAGGAATAGAGATGCCCTTCTAAGTATATGAAGCAGGAAGATATGTAATATGGGGAATTGCAGGCTTATGCAACCATTGGGAAGGCTGGGGAGTGAAGATCAGAGTCTGCCAATGATGTCTGCTGCACTAACACAAAAGGGGTCTTTTCAGGAGAATGCCTGCTTCTGACAAAGTGTTGTATTTGCTGTCTGCAGATGTCTTTGTACCTGTCCCTGGCTACCAACAGTGACTGCTAGTGCTTCTAATTGGCAGAGTCTAACCTGGAACCATGCCCATGGAATTCTGGGAGATGTAGTTCTGAAGCTTCTCAGGGAAGAATAGAGAACGGGGTGGAGTGGGATGATGTGGAATTGACAGCAGATTGGCAGAAGGAGCATTTAAGTTTGAATAAAGACATTTATTTGGCACATTTTGGGAAGAAGAGAACTCTGTTCAGATTTTGGCAATGTTGCTACTAGTATTATTACCTTACTCAACCTCTGTGTCCTTGGAAGATGAATAGGAATTGTTTCTCTGCTCTGGCTCTGTTCAAGTTATGGTGTTGCTAAATAAATAAATAGATAAATAAAAGGATTCAATGACCTGCATAGCTGGTGCAGAAGATAATATATTCTGTGTAGCTTCATAATGCAGTGGGGGGGGGGGGGCGGGTTGGTCTCAGAGCGTGAGGTTTATAAAACAATGCATAATTCACCAGTATGCCGTGGAAAGACCAGTGCTCAGAAAACAGTTGTGGATGACTCAGCTTGTACATGTCTTTATTTTGGGGGAAACTGTCTGGAGCTCTTTATTTGCTGTAGGTATGTATGCGGCTTGTGGTGAGCTGATAAAATACAATGAGGTATTAAATACAATGAGGAAAATAATAAAACCTTCTTGGAACATGGTAACCTATAGACAGATGCCATATTGTTTGGTGTTGAGGAGAGAGTTGTAATCTCTACTTATCTGGTATCTGGGTCACATCAGGCTTTCAGTGTAACTCATTGGGCTTTGAAGGCAGAATTTGACCTATGCTATATTTGCGTCTCTGGAACAGCAAACCCCATTATAACTGTGTCCTACGGCACTTGTAAAATCCTTTCTGAGTCTTGAGTTTCAGGTGTCTGCTGATATTTAACATTTGAATTATCTCAAAGAAGATAAGGAAAATGTACTATCTTAATTCTATTTATATTTTGAGTGAGGAAAATTGAAAAGGAATGAAGGAAAAAACTCGTTACCAAGAGCAGTATGTAAAGGTCACTGGTTTAGCTTTGCTGGAAAAATACTTGTTTTTGGGGTTGCCTGGAGTCTTATCTTGGCAAAGCTGGAGGCAAAGCTGGTGATGAGGATTTGTGTGCAAGTGATTTTTGATTTATTCAGCAAGTGCTCTCAAGAGAAACCAGCAAGGGAATGGGTGAAGCCAGACAGGGAAGGGTGAGAGATGGGCAAGGGTGCAATTTCCGGGGAAATCTCAGACAGCCTGATCCTTGGGGGAACTCTGGAGCACCAGTTATACCTTGAAGTTTGTCCTGAACTGCAGCAACAGAGCTGCTGGGCATTCATGCTCCTACACAGTCAGTCACTAGCTGAGGGCTGCTGGTGTGGGGTTGTGTTTGGAGACAGATAAACTCCCAGGGACCTCCGAAGAGTCTCAGGTGCTGGCCATTAGAAAGGAGAAAGATCCCAGCTGGCGTGGCTCAGTGGTTGAGTGTTCAGGAGGTCATGGTTCGATTCCCAGTCAGGGCATATGCCCCAGTTGCGGGCTTGATGCCCAGTGTGGGGCATGCAGGAAGCAGCTGATCAATGATTCTCTCTCATCATTGGTGCTTCTATCTCTCTCTCCCTCTCCCTTCCTTTCTGAAATCAATAAAAAATATATTGTAAAAAAAGAAAGGAAAAAGAATATTGATGCTGGGGAGGGGATGTACAGAAGTGATTAAAGGGATCCCAGTAGATTGGGGAAAGCCCCAATAATGTACTTACTCTTCGAGTACACTGCTCTTTTGTTTTTATGAAACCCAGAATCTGAGGAGAGGAGAGAGAAAAATTTTCACTTGCAAATGCAAGGGTTGGAAAACCTTTTCTATAAAGGGCCAGGTAGTAATATTTAAGGCTTTGTTGGCCACAGAGTTTCTGTTCCAACTAGTCAACAGTCAACAACATCATTATGGGTGCAAACGCAGCCATAGATTACATGTAAATGAGTGGGCATGGCAGTATCACAATAAAGCTTTATAAAAGCAGATGTGACGGAGGGAGGGAGGAATAGATTTGGCCTAGGAGCCATAGTTTGCCTGTTCCTCCTGTGGAGGTTCCTTGTATGTGCCTAAGGTGATTGCTTTATCCATTCTGTATATGCTGCAAAACACAGGGAATAATTAGGATGGCTGTCAAAAGGATGGTTATAATGCATCTTAAATTAGGCTGGACCCCCTACCTCAAGTCTTTCACCATTCACAATTTTGCATGGATAATCTTGCTCAAGTGTGGCTCTTCTCATTTTACTCTTTCTAAAAATATTTAGTTCTCTGTTATCTATAAAATAAAATCTAGCCTCTTTAGCATGGCATTCGGGAATCCCTGTGATCTAGCTCAAGCAGTTTTTCTGTACTGTTCTCTGCTTCCCGCCCATGTGCTTCCTGGTCCAAGTATAGCAACTACTCACCCTCTCTCCCACATGCCCTTTGTTTCCATCTCCCTGACTTTGCCCCTGCTGCTTCCTCTCCTGGAGTGCCCTTCTGCTCAGCTCTGCAATTTGAAATCCCAACCATTCTATTAAGAGTCAGTTTGGCCCCTGCTCCATTAAGCATTCTCCTCATGTGGAAATAGTCTCTGCTCTGGACTTTGATAACAATAGTGTCTATTTTTATGAAAATCTTTATTTTATTTATGTTATACATATAGTTATTTGCTATATTCACTATAGTTTTTTAATTTTATTTTAGTATTTTTAGGGCAGTGACTAACAATTATTTGCCCTTCACAGTGGGTTGCATATAGTAGACATTCAGTAAATGTAGTTTTCAGGTGAAGGTTGCATTCCTACATCCTGTGATTATTAATGGTGTAAGTGCTGAAACGCTGACATAAATTTTCTTTTTCCTTTCTGTAGGCAAGAGCTGTTTTGTCCAAAGTTGGCTATCCTGAGTTTATAATGAATGATACTTATGTTAATGAAGACCTCAAAGCAGTAAGTGCTAAATTTACTGTATTTTTTTTCCTGGCAAGTTTTACTGGCCTCATGCCTTTCAACTAACCCAAGTCCAAGCAATTAAACCTGGCGGTGCCAGAAAGCACCAACTTCTTATTCATTCCTTGGCTAGGTATGAGCCTTAATATTCAGGCATATCACAAGATTTAGAACAGACTAAAAATAAAGGAAGTGTCAGAAAGAATGTATAGCTGAGCAGGTACCATAAAGCAAAAACGCTTGGATTTGGCCTAATTTAATCGTAAAGGAAAGAATGAAACAAATTGAGTATTTTGCAATTAGTGGGCATGCTCTTATGGTGAATGTATATTTGTTGTTAAACAATCTTTATGTGCTTCATTCATATTAAATGACTAGTAATAAATCTGCCAGCTAGGCGTTAACTTCATTAAACTTTGTGAGTGAGTGTTTTTGCAAATTAAGTGCGTATATATATGACTGTAATTTATTGTGACTTGGACTGTATATTTGCAGTAATTTAGTGATGTAGGAATACTAATAATTCTTTTTTATTCCAGTATTTTGGGACATGTATTTTCCAATAGATGTATTCACTACAGGTATTTCTACTCACAACCACTGTTATTTCCTTTTCTTTAAATACTTCTGATAAAGAATTGTGATTCCTTACAAAACCCCTGTCTGTACCATTCACTGGATTTTCTTGTAAAAGTACTTTTTTTTAGAATTCTTTAAATAACTGGTTCTGAGGTATAGCTCTTTCCTGAAATTGAGGTTTGACAATTGTATATCTGAAAGCAATTCCAGCTTTGTAGATGAATGTCAGAATTTTGCAAGATTATTCAAAAGTGAGAGAAGGCTTTAATTAGAAAGTTTTTCCTTTGGGCTCTAAGATATGCCCTTCCAAGTATTGATCTAGTTGTCATGGAGGAAGATAATTATGCTTCACAGTATCACAAAGTTCAGACAACCCATCTTATTCTACATTGTTTTGATGCTGAAAAAACTCACAGTTATTATGATAATTAAAAATACTAATGCACTTGATACATTCGTGTACGTTATCTTTCAAGCATCACAGTGATCCTCTGAAGTACATGGTGCTTAGACCCGTTTCACAGACAAGGAAGTAGAGACTCAAAGAAGTTAAATGATTTCCTCAGTCCACACAGAGTATCAGAGCCAGGACTGAAATCTGGGCCTAGAAAGCTCTGCCTGTAACCTGAAAAGGGGTTCTGCAGGGTCCTTGTCAGGGAGCCGTGCTGGAGAGATAGAGGGGTAGGTTTGAAGAACTGGTGGGAGCTGCTTGCCTAGAGCTGGTTGGAAGGGAGGAGAGAAGAGGGGAGGTCATATTGCCCAGTGGTTAACAGCACAGGCTTTAGAGTGGTTCTGCCTCTTCCACTTACTAGTTTGGTTTTGTATAGCTTGCATAACTTCATTTAGCTTCCTTTTGGTTATATGGATACTGGAGATAATAATAACCAAGTCTTAGAATTGCTGGGATGATTAAGGGAGATCATATGAATGTAAAAGCACCTACCATAATGACTGGCATATATGTAGGCTCCCTATAAATGGTAGCTGTTACTTTGTGGATTAGTATGAGAACTGTTGCTGCTAAGAAGAACATCATCAGGGCACCAAGTATCATTGCAGGAGAACCTGTACAATTACTTGTGATCGGCAAATATTCCGAGTCAAGGACACAGATAAGAAGGTTTGAGAGGCAATTTGGTGTAGCGGTCTACCGTTTAGTAACTATGTGAACTAGGATCTCTGTGGTTAAGTTTCCTCATGTCAAAATGGAGATAACAATAATCCCTCCCTTATAAAGCTGCTGTGGGGATCAGATAAGTTAACATATTTAAAGTATTTAGAACTGATCCTGGGGCACAATAAGCACAGTATAAGAGTTAGTTATGACATCTTCAGTTTGCACTTATGATACTAAATTATTTTTGTTTGGAAAAGTCATTGTGAATTAACTCATCTACTATCCAGGTATCTCAAATTGATTGAAAAGGCTGTATAAAGGGAACAGTCTCAAGCTTTAATCAAATAAGATCGTATTTAGGACTCACTCACACTATTTAGTTGATCATGTTTTGCTGACAGTGTGCAGCTGTTTAAAGTCAGTGCCCCACACTTATGGACTCACTGAATGTGGTACCTTTTGTAAAAAGAAACCAGCTGCAGTGTTGGGTATTTCCTCTCATTTCTCCAAGGTCTGAATGGAAGCCATTAGATACCAAGATTTGTAAGCACTTTTGTGAAGAAATGGTTTTTGTGTAACTCACTGCCAAAGCAGACACAGTTGCCCGGGTGGCATGGCTTGGTGGTTGAGCGTCAACCTATGAACCAGGAGGTCACGGTTCGATGCCCGGGTTCTGGGCTTGGTCCCCAGTGGGGGGCGTGCAGGAGGCAGCTGATCAATGATTCCCTCTCATCATTGATGTTTCTATCTCTTTCTCCCTCTCCCTTCTTCTATGAAATCAATAAAAAAAATTTTTTTTAAAAAAAGCAGACACAATTACACCCAAGAGTTTCTAACACTTTAAAAAACAGACAGTGAAAAGAAATCCAAATCCATGAAAATAAAATACATTTGTGTTTGGAAACTGATAGAGAAAATGAATAAAATGCAACTTGAAAATAGGTAAAGGATGCTTGCTTGATGTGATAGCAATAGTGTCACTGATGTTAATAGCAAAAGGACTAAAGTACTGACGGTACACAATGGGACTGTATTTTCAGTTTGGAGAAATACGTAGATAAGGACTACTATAGGCCTATAAGAAATGTCTGGTTATACAAGCTCTGAGCATGAGAGAGGCTTTCACAAATGAAAACAGCTTAGTTTATTTGACACAAGTGAAGATATGGTTTACCAGGTACAAACGCAAAAGGAAAGAGGATAGACATTAGGTAATGGATTAGAAGAAGGTCAAGGAGAAAGGCTGAAAACTGAAATTGGACCTGTGTTGAGATAAGAGCAAATGGGAAAGAACTTAGAGGCAAATGTAAAGAATTAGAGAAAATTTGCCCCCCCCCCCTTTGAGGAAGAGAAGATAAATTGATACTCCCAATTTTTTTTCTGAATAATGATCTTTTTGTAGTCTTTGAAAAGAGCAAGAATAAAGGAAATGTCCTTTATGTGAACCCCCAGTAGCATACAGGAAAGCCTACTAATTAGCCAAAAAAGGTAGGTGTCAGTACATTTTCAAATTATCCTTACTAACTGGTCCTTTATTGATCCTTGGTGGATATAGACTCAAGACTGGTATGATATCAACCTTGGAAAGATTACTGTATCATTAAGAAAAGCCCAGACCACACTAGGTATTTCAAAGAGAGGAGATTTAATACAGGAGATAGTTGGGAAGGCAGAAATCAGGAAGGTGAGGTAGACCTAAGATAATAACTTCAGGAAGCTACTACCATCCCTGTATCTAGGGCACAAAAGGAAGTGATGGTACCATCATTTAGGAGACCAGAGGAGGAACTGCCATTTTAGCTGGGGCTGTGAGGAGGAGATGAAGATTTTTCTACAGTCGATGTCAGAAAAAGAAAAAGGAGAGAAAGAATGAAAGAGATCAAATACAGAATTCTTTCCCCTCATGCCACCTGCTGATTTCCCCCAGTCCCTCCTATTGGCAGGGGGCTAACTGGCAATGGAGCCTGGGAAACATAGTTTTCAGATGCCCAGCCTCAGCATTATAGAACAGAGTAAAAGAGTGGGCATGTATCTGAGAGACAATAAGTAAGTAATCGACACCATTCGGCACTTTACTCATTCTTGTGAAAGCCAGCAGAGAATTGTAGTAGGGACTAAAGTCAGAATCACAGCTGACATCCATTTACTTAGGAGATTTGGACATGGGTAACTTACAAAAAAATACATTTTTCAACTGATTTTTAGAGAGAGAGGAAGGGAAAGAGAGAGAAACACAGATGTGAGAGCAAAACATTGATCAGCTGCCTCCTACACGCCCCTTACTAGGGATCAAGCCCTCAACCTGGGCATGGGCCCTAAACGGGAATTGAACCAGTAACCTTTTGGTGTACTGTACAGGATAATGCCAACCAACTGAGCCACACCAGCCAGGGCTGGATATGGGTAAATTTTCAGAAAAGATCAATGTTTCTGGTGAATGATACATCCTCCTATCTAATAAAAGAGAAACATGGTAATTAGCCATACCTCTACTACCCTTCCCATTGGCTAATCAAGGCAATATGCAAATTAACTGCCAGCCAACATGGCGGCCGGCAGCCAGGCAGCTTAAAGCGAACATGAGGCTTGCTTGCTTCAGTGACGGAGGACTCCAACGTTCCCCGCCTGCCTTGCCAGCCTCTGAGCTTGCAGTTTGAAACATTGTTACAAATATAGAAGCTAAACAAAACCCCAGAAACCTGCTTTCAGCCAGCTGGGATCTCAGAGCTGGAGTTGAAACAGTGTTTCGATTATAGAACCCAAACAAACCAGATACCTGCTTTCAGCATTCGAGGCCTAAGAGCTGGAGCCAAGCCTCAGAGCTAAAGCTGGCCCAGAATAAAAAAAAAAAAAAGAAAATAGGAGCGGTTGGGAGCTTCAGTCACCCGCCAGCCTGAAAACAGCCCTCAGCCCCTCACCCAGACTGGTCAGGCATCCCAGTGGAGACCCCCACCCTGAAGGGTGTGTGACCAGCTGCAAACAGCCATCATCCCCTCATCCAGGCTGGCCAGGCACCCCAGTGGGGACCCTGATTCAGGACACCCTTCAGGGCAAACCAGCCAGCCCCTACCCATGCACCAGGCCTCTATCCTATATAGTAAAAGGGTAATATGCCTCCCAGCACCGGGATCAGAGTGACAGGGGGCAGCGCCCAAACCCCCTGATTGCCCTGTGGCTCTGTGTGTGACAGGGGGCGGGGCCACAACCTCCCTATCCGCCCTGCTCTGTTCATGACAGAGGAAGGCGCCTCAACCCCCTGATCAGCCCTGCTCTGTGCCTGATAGGGGGGAGATCCCCAATGCCT